GAATAATCACAGCTTTTATAAGTAATTAGGCACTGCGTTTGTTCTATTGAAACAAATAATGGTTTTTGAGTTACAGGAGTAACTTCGGTGCGCGTGCGCTGTGCCTAGTAGGTCAAACGCGCATTGAAAGCTGACATGAAAAAAATAAACGGTCAGTATTTTTTTTATGTGATAGGTCTGCAAACGAGCCAACGGATTACCTGATGGTAAGCAATCAGCGTCGCCCATGGACACCCGCAACGACGGAAGGGTTACGAGTGCGTTGCCGACCTTTTGGAGATTACGGAGTTGGAGATTTTCGGAATGAGGAGGGATTGGGATAGAGAAAATATTGGGCCTCCGGTAACCTCACACACACGGCGAAACAACGCTGTGATTGTTTCAAGCCGGTTTTCTGTGAGGTCTTGGTATCACTCCGGTCGAGCCGACCCATCCGTGCCGAAGCATGGCTCTTCCAAACTTAAATTACTTAATTTAGGTGTAGAAGGTTAATCAACATACTTATGTTGATTAACCAATTATTATGTTTACTTTGATTTTCTAGATTATTGATAATTCTCTAATTAAGAGGTATAATTATAAGTACCTGCTAAGAAGTACCTACACTTAGCGTTTCACGATGTTTAAAAATCTTCAGTAGATAGGTATCAAACATTAAAAAATGCATTGAACCTCTACCTATACATAAAATATCGAACGGCATTGTAATTCTTAGGTTCGTTCAACAGTGACTGACATGAACTGCTTTGTCAGTGTATAGGTCACGAACACGAGCACTGATCATGAGCAATTGTGAATTCTAGGTAGGATTCGATAAATTTCAGGTCATTCCTATGGTGCCGAAGTTGCGGGTTAGCGAATTATGTACCGCGGCTTGCACCTGAAGAGGAAAAACGAACAGGGTGGCTAGATAATAGTTTATTTTCTAAAATAGAAGTACCTAATTAAAATCATTTTGTTTAGATATCTATGTCACTTATTTTAATTATGTTGTCTGAAAGTCTATCAGTATACATTTTATCTATCTACACATAATTAATTCAATAGGTAAGTATCGTTTGGTTTAGGATTGCGTGACTGGAATTTTGAATTTTGGCAATCATTCAGAGAATTGATAACATCGATACCGTATAAGGCACGAGCTTCAGACTCTCTTCGTATTGGAACTAAAATTGCCTGATACAGACTGTTACACTATTAAGAACCCACGTAATCATGGACTACTTTGATCTATTGGCCGTTAACTTAACTTCTAAAAGCACTGTTATGAAAGTCTTCGATTTTACCATTCTCACGTCCTTGGTAAACATATAAAGTGAATTGCTAGGTTACCAGTACCTATCGTAAAAAAAATTATATCAGGGTACTTTGTCACCACTTGGTTTTTGAAGTGGTTGATTGTAGGTAGTTTTAAAACATATCCTGATTATTCTTGACGCTTACTTAATTAGAAAGAATATGGTTAAAATAAAACGACAGAGACATATCCTAGTGCCTATTAAGTGTGCAGGTAGTTTTTAAATGCCTATTTATAATGATAAGTTGATCTATTAGTGAGTCCTAACAGGTTCTTATACTACGATAAATTAAATAGATTTCTTATATAAACGTTCTGTTCATTCGCATAATTGAAAACTTGAAGTGACAGATTCTGACCAATTTGTGTCTGTTTAGATCTATTGCATTATGCATAAGTGGTACGTAACTGATAGTAGGTAGTGTAAGCTGATCAAGTGTTAGTAAGAGCGACTAACGATCAAGGCGTCTCTGGTTTGATCTTAAGATTAGCAAAATAGATGTTATTGGGATATAAAAACACATGTAAGTAGCTATATAAGTAGCGATAGGCTCGTCAGTTTTTGGTTGTTGTTCACGTGTCTAAGTGTACTTATTTAAAGCTCACTTTCGTAACAGGGAAGATATGTGATAAAAAGAGCTTAACTTTAACTTTGTGTTAAATAATAAGCTAAGTCATCGTGTATTATATTTGATTTTGGAAATACCCATGTAGTCACTAGGTACCTCGCTACCGTTCCTAGCTCAATACAAATAATAATTATAATGGTTCAGATTTCCAGGTAGTAATTAGGTACATACCTATTACTTATTTATTTGTGAATTATTTATCATGAAAGGAGCTAACAAAAAAATCTTTAATATTACCTAATAATGTACAGATACAAAAAGGAGTGAGTGAGTGAGTGAAAGGACAGTATTTCGATCTCTATCGCTGCCTGCATTTAACGATTGAGAATCCTTTTTTTGTTTGATTTGACTCTACCAAAAAAAATGTTACCGCTACCTACGCTAACAGAACTATCCTAAAATATTCGCATATAAGAATTCTTTGATCTTTGACTTGTCGTAATTATTAAAGGAATTCCTTTAATAATTACGACAAGTCAAAGATGGATTAGCTATTTCGAAAGGAAAATGGGAGTCGGTGTTGGTGGGTACATATGGGCGAGCGTTAATCATATCACCACTAACAAATTTATTAAACTTAAAGAAACAATAGGTGACACATTTACACGTTGGTACAATACCAGTGTTTGTAATAGTAGTACCTAGGTAGCTGTTAGCCGCTAAGATTTCTTATCCGGACTTTCTCTTCGGTATTGTAACCCTTGATATAGGTAGGTAAAAGTACTCAGCACTATAGAAGCATAGCACAAACAAACAGTGACCTACCTATAGAGCATTTTGGTCATAAATAATTTACGTAACTTTATGAAGAAATATTAAACATACGAACAAATACTTTCAGGTTGTTTGCAAACATTTTAGTGAGTGCGTAACAAACTGAGAAGTGCTTTCTCCGCCAAAACTAAGCAATCTACGCAAATATTTTGCCTGCTTCTCGTTAATTATTACTTACATATCAATTAACACAAGGCACCATTTTGGATAGGATTTTCCCCCTAAAAAAATAGGTTACGGAAGACTGTGACGCCTTTGTCTTAATAAAAAAATAAAGTATCTGATGCTATGTAGTAATGTAGCAACAAGTCGGATGTTCCTCACATATGACATATCTAATAGCTATAGGAACAATCAGGTATTTTATTACCTGGGTAATCAAACAAATATTATTATATGTACCAAACCGTAGACCTACCTACCTGTTGTAAAATCAGAGCGCTAACAGAACACAAGAATGATATCAAATTATATGGATCTATTCATTAACATCATAAACTTATTTTAGGTAAATAGTGTATTGCAATAAATGTTTAATGTTAAACACTGGCACTGCTTTTAGGTACGTAGATAGGAGATATTGTGTTGTCTAAGATAAACAAGGAATAAGGTTCAGTTAGGTATTTTTTTTTTGTAAGACTTTTTACTAAGATGCTATCTGCGTACGCAGGTGCTAAAGATCTAGTTGCCTAAAAAAAAAGCCTCGGCGTTATTTCTTTCCACACATACCTTCGTGCAATAATTATTTAAACCTTCGCTTGTTTCAGTGAGTTCTCAATGTTTGCTAACTAAAAACAAGACTGAGCTTCTAATTAATTAGTTCTAGTTTTAATTTCTATATATTTTGACTACTTATATAAACACAATTTTTAGATAGTTGGTTAGCTCGTAACTGGCTAATGTAGTTATATGACCTACTGCTTATAACCAACACTAAACCATTTTGTATACATAAGCTGTGAGCCTACCTTATAATAAATAAATACCTTAGGTACACGTTAATTTTTATAAGTATACCTATAAGTAAAAAAATAACTTATTAAAAAAGAGCAAGTGTTTTACTACATTTTCGACTATTGGCGAGTCAATCAAATATTTGAAGACTATTATGAAGGACCTCCTTTTTTGTTTGAAGTACATACATACGTAGTGATGCTTTTGCTTAAGTACCTATATTTAAGTTTGTCATTTATCAGAACTGACGAAGTGTTGCAGTATTAAGATACGCGCCAGTAAGAGAAAAATAGTACTTAGGTAAGTACCTATATTTCAAAATACCTAATAACAAATTAATTATAAATATAAAAATATACTCAACATCTCTAATAGATTCAAATTAATAGATAATTTGATCAATTTCTGACCGTCTTATTGATTTTACAAAAAATATTTATGCAGCCGGTGTTTCTTTTTTAGTTCTAAAAGGTTTTTCTAGTACCTTATTTCAGTTACACAGATAAGATTTGTAAATTATCGAAGTGTAAAAAATATATATATTTTAAATATTACCGTACCTATAACCAATAAAAATATAAATAGAGACATACCTTGGAATAGCGCAAACACATATATTGTTGCAGCAACCACTTGCATTTTGTCAAAACTAATCACTGGTATCCTCAAAAAAGTTAAGAGATTTTTTTTATTAAATACATTGCATTTTTGAACTCGAATTGTTTACAAATATTAGCACGATGAAACAAGCGTGAGTACCAAGTTCGGTAGCGGTGCGACGCGGACGTCGCGACACTGCGACAGACAACTGTGCGCGGCCAACGTTTTCCCTCGCTTATAAATTCCCCTGCCTATAATGAAAGCACGTCAGCTGCTTTCGGTGTGTAGTTTTCCGGGCAGCAAACGAGAACTTAAATTCAAGTATATATTTATGGGGGTTTATGTCTAGACCTTGAAGATATGTAAATAATTAATAAAGTTCCACCGGTAACCCTGTAGTTTGGCGTATACGCAGAAATGCAGGGTACCTAATGACATGTTGGGGCTATGGCCCTCATTTCGTCACTTACATATGTATGTATAATATCATAAATTTATGAAAGCAAATACTGAAACGATTCATTGAGTTCTGCTTTCGATTTCAACATCGGGGTGCGTGGGTTTGATAACCAGTATAAGCAGGTAGAGTTTAGATCATTAGACCATAATAAACCAACGCTACCTATATTCTTTTTTGTTCATAAAACTGCCAGCAAAAGATCGTATATGAACCGAGAAATACAACGACCTTGACCCCATAAAGCGAATTTTGTGAATAAAGGATGGAAATTAAAAAATCAATTGGACTTCACACATTTATTGTATTTTTGTCTAATAAAAATACTATATCATATAACTATCATAAAGAGAATATCTACAGCAATTGACAGTCTTGCTGGTTGTACACACTTGCCAGAGCACAACATAAACTCCTGTAATGCATTTAGTGCACATGGCAGGACATCATTTACTTCTCTAACAACATTAATTTATACCTTAATTTACAGCCCTATCGCATCTATTTTAAAGTTTCGAAGAATATAAACTGCATATTTGCCAAAATAACACCATTGAATGGATGTATTCATGAAAGTATTGCACTATTGAATGAAGAAAAATAGACTGAAGTTTTACAGAAAATGCAGTAAATTGCTTTATATATATGAGGAAAAGTATTAGATCAACATCATTACTTTTATCAGAACTACAGGCGTGTACATTGCACATGCTATTTGTTTATTATGAATAATATGTCACACATCATATCTCGATATTGTAAGGTTTATGGATCATACATAACATTAACTTACGATGCAAGTAGTGATTTTTAGTACGGCAGGCGAGAACACATTTTTTACTACCTTAAATAGTTTGGTGGTACATCTTTGCAATTGTTTAATGGATAATGTTAGATCTTGAGTGAAATTAGAGATTGTGAATAAAAAACATGTTTATATTGTACATAAGACGTGGCTTACAGCGACACACGCTATCTTACAACTTTTGACAAGGACATTAAGTACTTAACTGATTTAGGCACAATTATGTTCACTTCGAATCGTTTTCATCTAAACATCCTAAAATTTTATTTCATTAAGCTCTACAACACATGCATAACATCTTATTTGCCACAATAATATAATTACGGCAGAAATGAATAACCAATCTTAAACCAAAATATATGAATTACGATCGATTTAGTACATTAATTGAATGGAATTAAGTCGGAAAATGAAATCGACCCAGAGATCTTGGATTAAGATCGGTGATTAATTTCGGCCATTAATCATCATGTTATCTCTCCAGATTGTCCCTCAATTCAATTCAGTTGTTATAATATATATTCCTTACAAAATTCAACTTAAGCATAATGGAACACTTTCAAAGATAAAATCGAGACGAAATTATTATAATTATAAAGTAATCACTATTATTATTTATACATTTCAATCATTTGTAACATGACGGGAGGGAGAAGGTCCCACGCGATGAAGTCAATGTAGATCGCACTTCGCCGTTTTATACACTTTGAAAATCATTTCAAGTGAACTACTTAACCTAGGTATATTATTATGTACACAGTGTACTCTAATAAATTGGCTAAATGATAATAAACTCATTTGTAACATTCACCTTTAATAGAATCAACATTTAAAATAAATTATGAAGGAAAATAGTCCAATTATTATGTACCGAGTTTCTAAGAATGATAAACTTTATAACACTTTGTTATTAGGTCGTTGAAACATCATAGCCATTGAATGAATATTTACTTTATAAAAAGTACACAATTATACTGCAGAACTGGTAACATACCAGCTACAGCGCCAGTCGGTGCGCCACAAGTAGGGACGCACGTCCCTTGTCTACACTTTCGTCTGACTTCCACTAACACAATTTGAATATATTGAGAAATATTAAAATAATCCGTGTACTTCTTTTATTCTATAACTTGCCTTACAACTCTAAGAATGTGAAATAATCTAGTTCTACACACAGCATACATAGTATGTACAATATTGAACTATATACACAAATATATCATGGCAAAGGTATCCACGAAAGTAACTATCATGTATGGACAAGCATTAGCATATTATTCAGACAAATGTTACGCTTCAGTGTAATCATACGACCACTTATGCGGTAGGCGACAAGCATCTCTACCCTAAAAGAATGTTCAAGAGAAAAAATGCAAGAATGTTCTACCCTATTACACTTTTTGCATATGTATGAAATAATCAAGAAGTAAGAAGTTCTGTGATTACTTTAGCAGCACAGGTGCAGGAGTTTGGTACACATACAAAATGGCGACTTTATAAGTGAAGAAATTTACAATATATGGAGAGTTGCAAATAGAAATAGCCTCTCAAAAGATCTTTCCATATTATCGCAGATTACAAACACTGCAAATTGATTCACTAGGGGAGAAGACCAGTTGTTTCTGACAGTCAGGCAAAAGCTCATGCGATACCCAAGTGTCTCTTTCTCAAATGAAATATTACGCGAAGATTTCATGTGCAACTGTGTAAGAGAAGAAAACAAATATCTTGCTTTCTTCCCTTATCCAGCTTGGGAAGAATAAGTTATTACTTAGTTAAGTTTTTCTTTTACTATTTCAAATTTATGCATGTATTTGTTGCACAAATGTAATCTCAAAATATGTATTAATTAGATATTTACTAATGCATCTCTACTGTGAGTGATAATTGGTAACTAACATTGCTTATTGTCCAAATAGGCGAATTTGACTTATTACATCTGGAAACTATGATTGTGATTACAGATACACCTAGAATTAAGAGATTGTTTATATTGTTCGAAGTATCCTATTAATAACTAAGAAAATAATGTTGCTAATCAATTAACTGCAATTCCGAAACATACGAAGCCTTGATATCATTATTTCGAAAAATATTTGTACTCGTGATTTCTGTGTATAAAAACATCGGAAATATGTATTTGTATACTATATGCACTAGAAATAATATGTACATAATAATGTAGCATTAAACCACAAACGCAATTAAAGGTGAATGATTCACAAACAGCAAATTAAATAAATGATTCTGTCAATAAATATATGTAGTACTTGTGCGTATTTGATACAGAATACCATAGTGAACTAAGCGCTTAAGGTTCGGGTAACCGGCATGATGATGACTCGATGAATTTGGCTGATATGTTTGTAGATTGTTAAGTGACATGATGCAAGAATTGTGTGAAGCCCGTGAGCACATCTCTTAACACAATAGTATGGAAAATATTTATGCCACATCTACTGTCACCTAACTTATACACCATGTCACAAAAATATTTCATTTACACTGTTGTATATTTATACAATCATAAATATATTCATTTGTACATTACACATGTGATTTTACTTTTAGAATATTTACAAATAAACACAACATTCAACCTTCATCTCTATTCACAATCCTTTTCAAAACCTATTTTACTAAATTAATATAATCAGGGCTGTAAAACCTACAAACTAAAAATATTTGTACTCCTCTGAATAACCACCACAGCACCAGTTTCAGTGTTGCATTCCACTACTACTTGTGATGCTCTGACTGTTATTTAGAAGTAACTGTTTCACTCAAAAATAAGTTTAACAGAATAAGTTCATTGCATCTTTGAGGTGAACTGAAACATTGTGTGTCCATGTTAATGTTATATATGAGATCAGAAAATATTAACCACATACATATTCACTTGTCATAACATTCATGTTATTCCTCAAATTGTGTTAGCATCTTGTATTTACTATTTACTGATAAAAATATCATTGAATTAATACAAATAACACTTTGTTGATAATTCACCTCAAAGACCCAATATTGTAAGCATTGACCAGTAGGTACTTAAGTCATTATGTTTTATAATTTATAACATATCATATCTCATAAACAAATCTATTTAGCCATTTGGTATATGAATACTGCCCTGAACATTATTATCTGCATGCATCTGAACCCATGGAACAACATAAACAAACCAAAAAACAAGGGTTGTAGGCCATGAAATATTTTTGTAGTATGCTGTTGTATTCAAATGCGTTGTTTATAAATACCAGGAATGTCACTTACTATAAAATGTTAAGTGTCATTGTATAATAGATAGATTTTTAGTTTGTTTATGGTTGGCCCACTTACTTTTACAACTCAGCAGTAAATTGCAAATCTTCATACTATTATAATAAGCTTCAAAAAAACTACAAAGTTCTTGATATTTATATAACAATAACATTACTATACACATGAAAAAAGTTTTAGAGAATTATTTTGCTCCACAAATAAAAGATGGAAACAATACTCTGGTCAGATAATAAAATTATTATGTGCATAGCAACTATTACCATATAATTCCGAAATATTAACCAATTAAATACTACTAAATTCCAATAAATCTATAAAATATTACTTTATACTTGCTATGAGTGAATGCAATTTTTATAATGGACTCCAGAATTAATTATTGGTTACTGGCTGCGGATCGACGTACGTACATAAAGTTTTAGTATTACTCAACAACATCCTGGTCTAGGCGCGCCCGCGTCAAAAGCGAGTTTAGACGGAGACCCTGCTCCTACTATAACATTCAATGCTAACACTATCAACACACAACTTTCCAACTAATCCACTGTTTATTGGATTCTACACCAACATGAGCCTATACAATCAATCATACTCATGTACAATACCCATTAACCAGTAGTCCTAAAAGAATAGGTAAGCCTATTCAGTTCATTTCTTTATCAGACCCCGAAATACGACACAACTTGTTCCTGATCCTATGAAGCTAAATGCAAAATAACCATTATTGAAAAATGCTCAATGGACTTAGGTACATATTGCATTACAAGTTGAATGTTGTTGAAAAATGTTATTTTGATAATCCACGGTACTGTTACGGGAAATGGATAAGAAGAATATCGCAACTCGTTGCGTATATGAAGATCAGGGTCTTAATTTTTGTTTGACACTACATCGGGCCGCAGATGTAACAAGAATACTCCAACTCACCAAAGATTCGAGATAGTTCCACTCGTCGCGAGTCACGGCGAGCGGGCGCTCGTACAGCCCGAGGCGGCGCGCGGCTGGCTCAGAGTTTGCGCGGCCGCGTCAGGCGGCGCTTCTTGCGCTCGGGCGTGGCGCCCGCCGCATCCGCAGACGCGCGACGCCGAGTAGGCGGCGTGGACGCCAAGCACTCCATATTACTACTACTCTCCGCTTTCGGCTCTGGTTTAGATTTACTACTGGTTTCAGCTTTAAGCTCCGGTTTAAGTTTCGTCGTTGTTTCAACTTTTACCTCAGGCTTAGCTTTAGGTTCAGATTTAGATTCCACTTTAGACTTGGGTTCAAGTTTGAGGTCAGCGCGCGGCAGCTCTGTGGCGGTCTCAGGGACTGCACTAGTGGCAGCGACGACTTCCGCATCAGCTGCGGTCACTTCAGCCTCTGTCGGCTCCGTACTTGTACCAGCTGCCCACTGAAATTAATGTTTGTATATAAATTTTTGGTACATTTACCAACAAATGAGGCATGGGTTACCTAAATAATACGGTAGTTTCCAACTAGTCAAATCCAATACTTTTATCCAAATGTCAAAAACGATACTTTTCTATGAAATTTTTATGAAACACTGAGTTATGACGTCATAGAATTTTTGCGTCAAATGCTTTACTTTTTTTACTACACTAGGATTTTCTCCTGTGTCGCGGGTGCGTTTACAAACATACAATTTCACATACACAAGATGACACCCAGACCCGAAACAACAATTTTTGGATTACACAAAGTGTTGTTTCGTGCGGGAATCGAACCCGCGACATTTCGGACGGCAGCCAGTTACCCAGCCATAAAATATTTAAAACTTAGTGTATAGATCGATCGATGTCTACTTATTGTTCAATATGTTATAGTATTGAAATGTCAAATTAATTTATTTTTGACTATTTTACCTAGGAAACTCTAATTGGAAAGTTTTTTTCAGTGAAAATTAAATGATTTCAAATTATAAAACCATAAATAGTGTAGTTTTGTAGTTGGAAACTATTCTTACAAGTCTATGGATATCGTTATATTACCTGTGCTAGTGAGGAAGCCGGCGACAAGCGCAGTGACGCACCGCATTCAGCGCATAGCGGCGGAACGGCTGGAGACCTGGACCGCCAGTATTGTAGCTCTGTTTTACACTTGTTTAATTCCTGTAAAAAGAAATAGATATATTATATAAGTCTAATTAAAACCATCTAAAATGACGAAACAAGCAGTCTAAATTTACATGATTCAATACTTGTACAGCAAACCACAGCCTGTCTTATATTTAATGTTAAAGTATTTTTATTAAATAATAGAGTATTTGAATGATATAATATATACTTATGAATAAATGATACACTACATACCACTACTATATTTTTACCTGCAACAAAGTTTGAAACTTGCGGCTTGTTTCTTCATTCTTCTTATCATAATCATCAAGGCGGTTTGCATATTCCAAGGTCTGTTTCTGTTGTTCAGCAATCTGTTTTTGTTGCTCAGCTATTTGCTTTTGCTGAAGAGCGGTTTTACGCTTGCAGCTGCGAAGGTCGCTGCGCAGCGCAGACAGCTGATCGTTGTACCTGGAAAGCAAAGAAAATTGTGAAGATACCATGAGGTACATTCAAGCTGCACTTACTGCAAAAAAAAGTATTTTTTTACTTATTAAAATAGTTTTAAGTTATTAGTCATTATTTTTGTCTTCTTACTTTTTCATTCCTTGTTTAATACGATGTATCCGTTTTCTTAGCACCATGTTGCTCTGCGGCGGTGGCGGAGACGGCGGGAGACTCTCCTCCATATACATGTTCAGTGAGGACACACGGCGGTCCGATACATTCGCCCCAGTCTGTTGTGACGACGATGATTCAAAGCCACTCGGTGGTGGCGAGTCCAAGCATATATATGATTTACTACTTTCACCAGCTGGAATATCACAAATATACATTAGCAAAAGTATACGAAATAAATATGTATAAAATCAAAACTAAAGAAATAAGCAATTATTAGCAATTTAATAATAATCTTATACTCACGTGAAAACGCTGTAGTAATATCGAAGAAATCTGTGCCAAAGTAAGTAATCTCTGGCAAGTTGGGTTCAATGTGTTCTTTGAAGTATTCCATGGCCATAGTCGTCAGATCAAAGAGTTCATCAGTCACTTTGTAGGGTCTTGCCAGTTTCGTCGCAGTTTTTAAGTATGAGAGAATGCTGTATACTTCGTCTAATATCTACAATAAAGATAACAAAATGAGTTTATAATATTGTTAGCGAACGGTTTAAACTACATATAAGTATATAAATTATGTTGCAAGTTTAAAACCTGAATTATTTCATGGTTTACAAAATCAAAATTCTGTGTCTGTTTCATTTTATTCACATTTATTCAGTAAAGTATAATAAGGAAATTCGTAAATCCGCCAAAGCAAGGTTTGATAATTATTTTATCTAAACAATTTCCTCCTGTTCAAGTCATTACTGCTTTGATTTGATTTACTGCTAAATTGGCAGTATCTGTACAGCTGTCTACATAATTTCAGTTGAATTAGTCTCTAACAAGGTATAAGGTATAGCTTGAAATAAAGCCAACAGTAGATATATGAGAATTACCTATCTTAACAGCTTACCTTTTTTACGGTGGCGCTATCTATGCTATGGTCTGGTCCCTATGCTATTCATTACTCGTAGATCTACACGTTTTACAGACACGACACAGAATTTAGCAATCTCATCAGTTAGTATAAGTCGGTCAGCGAGTTTGACTATCAGATTATTTATCGTAAGTGAATGATTTTCCAATGACGCCACACGGCACTATACACGTGCAGCACTCTCGTAAACGCAGTGGCCGATAGGAAAGTCTATTTTTAGACAACAACGTAAAGGGACAAGGGACTACGATATTTTAAGTTTTATAGTCTACATTTTTGCATAGAAACTATGGCAGATCATAAAAGATACTCCAGTTTAAACCCGGCATCAAAACATTATACTAGCAATGCACAGCTATACCTACTACCTACGCTATCAACTTCGACCGCGACAAGGTCGACCACAATGGTTAAGGGCCAACACATCATTAGAATTATACGAAATCAAAGCACAAAATAAATGTAGGTATGTATGTCAGCCACAGAAATTTCATCGAAAACAAATAATACCTACTATAGGATTCATGAAATGAAAAATATTATCGTGAAAGCAGTGAAACAGAAATAAAATGTGGTTTAGTGACATGCTGTGCCACATCTACCACCAAATGCCGACATATATTTTAATAAGTCGACGAAACATATATTGAAATACAAAGTAATTATTCTTTGATGATCCTGAGAGTTAGCCTCAAAGTATTTTTATGTCAACCAGAATAATAAATCAAACATACAATATAATATAGTATAATACTGCAATCAACTTAGGTTGAGAGCTACAATGTTTCACTAAGTTTGCTTTTATCATTAACTAGCGGCAGTCCCTTGTTTTGCATGGGTATACAACTACTTTACCAGTTGCTCTGTCCCAATATTCCCCTCTAATTATTTCAAAGATTGTCTTTCCTAGGAACCCTCTCCTGACAATACTGACTGAAATATAAACATAACAAAAAAAATGAAATTAGCCAAGGCGTTGTGAGATATACACTTACCAAGACATTTTGTATATGCAAATATTTATTAATAGGTACTGAGTGCTAAAGAAAGAGTCACATAGCACAACAAAAATAGATAGGGAGCAAGAGAATTAGGCATGCTGCGTGAATATGTTATCTTTGTTCATTCAGTTATATACCACTACTAATTTGTACTTTTATAACCAGTTTACACAATCATCAATTATAACAATAAATAAAATTTTATGTGAATATCAAACAATATGTCATCACAATTTTTTGTAATCAGCCGTAGTCACAAGCAGATGCTATGTATATATATATATATATATATAATTATTCAAAATGTACAAGTAGAGCACTTTCAAATGATACCAAACTTGGCATATTTATTGTAACTTTACTTTGTTGACTCTGAATGTTTTATCCGCTTAAGGGTGCCACATTGGATTTTGTGATACCCCTTATAGCCTATAAACAGCAGACAATGAAGACATTTCTAATGATATGTCCTTTGTCAAATTCTGAAAAGTAGTTTGAAAGTTACAAAGGGAACAGATGAACATACATACATACATAGCCTGTCAAAATCACAACCCTCCTTTTGCTTAGCCATAGTTAGGTAAATATCAGTTATTTTTTATGCCTATAGCAAGACACACTCAGTAATTAATTTATACTTATTCAAAATTCATAAATACTTTACAGAAGAAAAGAGGCTATTACCTCTCTATTTACTTAATATTGCCTTGTGAGAATGAATGCTTACCTCTCCTGGAAAGAAACAGCAATGTTTCCGTTCAATGTGCTTGCCAAATGTCATTTGCAAAAGACTTAGTCTCATATGCAAGGTCTCTATGATATCTGATTCACAAGCTAAAGGATGGCTCCTACGGGCAGATTCTCTGCGAGGCATCTTTGCTTTGATTGATTGAAATCTATGCAGCATCTGGTTTTGCAACCGTTGAAATGTAGAGTTCAGAATACTGCTGCAAATTGAGTTGAACTGCCGATTAACCTGCAATCCAAAATGTAGACTGAATTCTGAGGCAATTGGTAAAAAATTTAATGATTAAACTAGAACAGTATCACAAAAACATTATACAATATACAAATGTATGATTTTGATTTAAAGTTAAACAAGTTAACCAAAACAGGAAAATATTTCAATTAAACTGAAGAACTATTTAAGGTAGGATAGGTTGCTGTTAAGTAGCAACAACAACTAAATATTAATCAAGAGGATATTGTAATAGTATCCAAGCAAAGGTATTACAAATTTAAAATTTATAGATATTATAATCTTGTCCCATTTGTATCACAAGATTTATAAATCTAGAAAGTAGACCCACCTCAAATTTATAAAATGTAAATGAGCTAATCTAAATAAATGTTAATTATGCTTACATTACATGTTAATGATAATAACAAGACATGAAAAAATGTGTGAAACATTCTGTAAAACTAATTACAAAGTAGTAATAAGTCAAAGAGAAGTAGAAAAATAGATAATAACCATTCTGATCTGTGAAACACTTTTGAAGCCCAGATAACAAATAATCTTTTCAATAACTTCAACTGGCAAATCAAGTATATTCGTAGTATAAGTCTTAGGGGCAGGCAGTAAACTGCACTTGGAGGTACTGGCGTGTGGAGAAGAACCTCCAGGCATCAAGGCGCTAGAGTGACGGGTGACGCGGGACACCGCCACAGGCTCCGCGTGAGAGGGACCTGCACCATCACTACCTCCATTGCCTCCTCCAACGCTGCTCATTTGCCTCGTCGACACCATTTTATCACCAATTTAGTCTTCACTTATATATTCCTGAAAACTAAACTAGTTTATGAAGTCACTCACGAAAAATTTAAAAATTCTCAATTTTTGTCTAACATGTTCAATCCACAATATATAAAAACAGAGAGAGCAAGAATTGCCGATGAAATTCGTTACATTTCCCACTGTGAGATAGCATCTCAATACCTACAACAAAAATAAATTACATGAGAGCACCACCGAGTAAATTCTAAAATGGTGGCCATGGATGACTAGATCGGTACCTAATCGCTTGGGAAATTAAGTAAGATTTTTACGGATTGCTTATTGAAACTATGATATTATTATAAACAATTCACCCACTGAAGAATTCATGCACATCTTTTGTTAATTAAATCGTGATTATCTTCAAAAATAAAATTATAATTAAACGCAGTAGTCACAAAATGCGCTACGCTTTCACAAAAAATATTCTTTTTTTCACTCGGATTGAGAATAGATCATGGATGGAATGAATAGACAAATGGATGAAATGAGTGAGTGAGTGAATGAAAGATATTTGTTCAGATTGGTTGAATGAAAATCAAACCACTCCACAGAATAAAATAAGTTCTTCATCTCCACCAGAGCTTTTTTAAAATCTAAGACTTATTTTAATGATTTTTGAATTTTAATCTTTTAGTTAGTATATATCGTTCTTAAATGAGCACTTAGTATTTATAGCAGTAGTTAGGGTAATTTAAAGTAGGTAGTTAGTAGTCACTTTATTTTTATTGTCAATTATTCCACCATAGTGCATTATTGTGTGCATTCAGTGCATTCTACGAGCTTGATGTATCCGTGCTCAGGTATGGCGTTACTTTTTGGGGCGATTCCACTGACAAAGACATGGTGTTTAAAGTCCAGAATGCAGAAACGATACTTAGTAACTGCGCTTTTACGAGTTATTTTCTGTATACAAAGTACTTAAAGCTATAACTTCTACCGTCACCTGTATATACCTACTCGAAATAGCTTTACTAATGTTCATAAATGTTTAAATAGTGTACCTATATAGATAAATAAATAAAAATCCCGCATTCATTTACTCACGTAAGCAAGTAAGCGTAAGCGCCGTGACAATAGTAGACTTTGTGCCCAGCCTGCTAAAACAGCGCTTTTACAGAAAAGTCTAGTGTAGTATGCAATAGTAGTAGGCTCCAATAATTTATAATAACATACCAAGCTCAATGAAAAAATTTAACGCCAATATCATAAAATACTTGAAAAAACACTCATTAACAATGTTACTACAGTTTAATGAGGTCCAACTATTTTTATTGTTTCTTGTGTCGTATGTATATTATCTTTATCATTTCATTGTAGTATTAATATTATTTGTAAGTACACTAGTTGATTCAAACAATTCTGTAATTCTATAGTAAACATGCATATTATATTATTATGACCTACACATGTTTTGGCAAATAAAATGATGGGTACATATCTGTATTTTCATATCCCCAGAAAAAAATTGATTACACCTGTACTAAAATAACAATGAGATGATAGAAGATAAATGTTGTTAAAAGACAAATTTCATAACGATAAGAAGTTGCCGAATTTCTTCAACTAATCGTTTACCTACCGTATATTGAATGCTACAAGAAATAATTAAGACTAAAAGATAAAAATTATAACCAAATAAAAACATCTACTGAACGCTATCATTACGTTCAATAACACATACACGCAAGTATGGTAAACAGTAATTATTTTAAATAACTTCTCAATAACTGCTTATATATAGCAGCGGTAAGCGGTACCTCCCTTTGAGGAGTGGCTTGAGAGACGCCATGGCGTCCTCACTGTTTCGGATTCGGCGATAAGAAACGCCCGAGTGTCGTTATCGTCATTGTGAGGACCATCCAGAGGATACGGGTGGAGCATACGATCTCGGTATGCCCTGCTTCGGGTGTCTGGGATCGAGCGACGATTTCCAACAGACCAGCAAAGACAGAGCTCTCCAGGCAGGACTGATGTTCAGCCGCGATTGCGGAGTAAATGTAGAAGGAACTGGGGCGTTTTTAGTCAGAAAGAGTCTGACACTCCCTCCCACCCCGTGCTGGGTGAGACAAGTAATTTGATGATTTTCCCCTCACAAAAAACATAGCTGCTTTTAAATATACGAAAATAGCTAAGTTAAGCTAGTCCTAAGAAAAACTCTATGATTATTATGATTTTTTATAATATTATCTATTGATAACTAGCGTCTTCTTGTCAGTGTCAAAACTGACAAACATTTGTCATTTTGTCATGGAATCGTCAATTGAACGGAATGGAATAGCGAGGTGAAAAATAAAGTGCGTAATTGTTTATAAGCAACGCTTGAAACTTATATCAATATGCAAATTCTTTAAACACTTAAACAGTGTCATGTCGATTTCCGCGTCTTGTTTGCCTCGCTAGCCTAGTTTAATTGTATTTTAGTCATAAGTCCATCTGTTATCATTACATAGATTATTATTCTTATCTTCAGTTGTGTTAAAATATTTTTATAATGTATCCACGATGTGGTAGTAATGGTTCGATTCAAAATATACACCAGACACCGTCGTCTTCTAACCAGAACACGGGTAAGTAGTATAGTAATTAGTTGGTTGTTTGACTTTCATCAATCTCTTTGTATCTTACGGCTAAAATTTACAGAATTCCAATACCAGTACTTGTCAGCTCCTAAGTTTAAAGTATTAATTTTGAATTACCGGAATATTCCATTGAATTTTAAGTAGTCTCTTTGTTTTGACAGTCAAAACCATCTGTTGATTGAAAGCTTAGAGATTTTTAGTCTATGTATTGTTTTATGATATTAATATATTTTTAGTTATGTTTCTTTGTGATTTGTTTACCTAATTGCTTAATAAACAGAAGTACCATGAGTTGACAATCAACAATTAAGTGCCTTTTTATTAATGCATTTTAAATTGAACTTCATTACAGATGTTGCATTTATTAAAATATTAATAATTTATATTATAACTTTCTTAAAATACTTGTCTTATTAGAAATCCTTGTATTAAATTACAGAGGATGAAGATGACAGTGGAGACAACAAGGCATCTGCACTGAGTTTTAAGGAAAGAAGGAGAGAGGCTCACACTCAGGTATTTATTTAATTAAGTATATTTTTGGAAAACAATTCATAAGTTCAATTTCAATGAACTTACAAGACACATAAAAACAGTACTTAAAGAGACCTAGTGTCATATTTCCATATGGCATTTTATACCAGCCATTAGGAAATTCACCAAAAAGTAAATATGCAAATATGTGTTTTATTATTTTTTTTGTATGTTAAGGATCCATTGCTGTTGATTATTTCTCTGAAGAAAACAATTTGGTGATATTTACATTGTTAAATCATTGACTATAAGTAAATTTATTTGCTTGTAACTTCATAAAACAGCAGGTTTAGTAGTTCCTTAAAATAAAAATAATGAAAAATATCCTCTAAGGTTTTAATTTAATTTCACTAAGGTTTTAGATATTATTTAGGTTTTAGATATTATCTAAAACCGATAAAAAGTTTTAGATATTATCTAAAACCTTAGTGGAATGAGGATATTTTTTCCTTAGTTGTGTTATAAACTCCAATGCTGATGAAAATTATGAAAACCCATACTTAATATTATTCAGTCAAAATTTATTTGATATTATTTCAGTGGCTTTTAAATCGTTAAAGAGTATGGTGACATGGCTTAAAATCTATTATAATTGGTTTGTTTATGTTAACCTTTACCAAACCAATTTTAAAACAAATTGTTTAATGTTTACATAACAATACCTAGAAACCTCAACTTAAGTTTGAGTTTAAAACTAACTGGTTAGTTGTAAAAGTAATTTACTGGTTAGTAACATTATTTTTCTTTTTTATAGGCCGAGCAGAAGAGAAGAGATGCTATTAAGAAGGGCTATGATTCCCTTCAGGAGTTGGTACCAACTTGCCAGCAAACTGATGCATCAGGATACAAACCAAGCAAAGCAGCCGTGAGTTTCTTATCATTTCATATTTATATGGCGAAGGTTATCATACAATTTTGTTTAACCGACCTTGCTAACTAATCAATACTCAATATTGACCATGTTGTGTGTTACGATGCTACATAAACATAATGTCTTGCTTGCGTAACATCGACGGTAATACTTTGGGTTTAGATGTACATATTTAGTAGTTCTATTGAATTAATAAAATAATTATTGTAATTTTGCGTGTGTAGTATTTCGTTCAAATTAAACCAATTTTACTATTACGATGTTTAAAGATCTGATATTTATTTTGTGTGCACGAAATAAAACACGATCAGTGAAAGTAACAATATACAAGCATATTTACTTGGCGTTACTGCCTTCTCGCGTCATAGATACGGAGGCCAGTGACACCTCGCGAACTGACATGCGGCAACAACGTGTCTGACTAGACCTTAAGTTCCTAATCGTAAATAAATGGAAACATTCGTATCAGAATTAAATTTACTTAAGACCTAATTTAATGTTTTATCAGTATCTATTTAGCATTTATGATTTAGGCAATTATCTTTTTGGTATTTCCAACTTTCAATAGCCATGACATATTTTTTGATATTACTAGAAGGTGATTATGGCGTCACTTATTGCATTTGTTGTCACGTTGGCGATAAATTGTGTTAGTTTAATGCGTGACAATAATAGACAAGCCGTGATGCTGTGTGACGCACATGCCTTGTTAACCTCCAACTTCCTAGGTACTGTTAATATGTAGTATTATTTGTTTTTCTGTCTGAGCTATATGTACTGAAAATAGTCAAGAACTACTTTTCTCTCTCTCAGCTCTTTCAGGCATTACAACGTGGTTTTTCTTGCCGAGGTGTTTGTAGTTTTGATAAACAAACACGAAATATAAACGTGAGCACTCATACTCATTTTTATTGATAACAATTTAAATCTGGCTTGTTACTTGGGCATTGTCCGCGGCGGAAGGCCTCTCCTTAATGTGCCTATGTCATCTGTAATTGTAATGCCAATTTTTAATTCCTGATAATTTCATAAAAATTGTTGGTGCCTAATATATGATAGTCATATAGCCCACGTTAAAAGGGATTGCTCGTTTAAAGTTATTACATTACGGTCTACTCTCGATATGAATGCTTTTAGGCCCAAAGTTTCGTCGTTTAGTTAATTTATCCAATTACTTAGTGTAGTAGTAATTAATTCGACTGTAGAGATTTAGGCACAAAAATATTTGGTTTGTGATATACAGAATATATATACTATTCAAGGAGAAAATTATTCAATTTTTCCAGGTACTTCAAAAATCTATAGATTACATCCAATACTTACTACAGCAGAGGCGAAGACAGGAAGATGAGCGGAATGCGTTGCGCAAAGACGTTGTGGCGTTACGCATAATGCAGGCTAACTATGAGCAGATCGTGAAGGCGCAACATTCAGTACCAGGGCACAACGAACAAAGGCTCACTGACCAAGACAAGTTTAAAGTGGTAAGTTACTATGAATAAATGTCTGGGTTTAGATTACTAGCTTCCGCCTGCGACTTCGCCCGCGTGGTATTTTGATAAAAGCCTATGTCCTATTCCGGAGTGTATCCTATGTGTTTCATACATATGTATGCCTGTGTCATCCAGATCCGTCCAGCCGCTTTGGCGTGATTGAGTAACAATCATCCAAACATCGTAACTTTCGCATTTATAATATTAGTAAGTTTTTTTGTAGAATAGGAAATACACGTATTGCATTCCGAAATTATCAATACTTTTTGCGTGAAACTTTGGAAGACTTTCTTACCGTAGGTAGGTCTGCTCTTGTAGGAATATAGGTAGTAAAAACTAAACCTTCTAATAATTAAAAAATGTTTATCTCATGTTAATGAAGACGCATCACAGATTTTTAAAATAAAAATTATAAATCATACCCTTACCCATATGTAAATATACATATGTACAACTACTACATGTAAAAAACTATTTTTTTTTTGCAATTTAATGCGTACAATTACAATTATTTTGTAATATAACGTTTTAAATACAGTTTCAGGGTATAATGGACAAGTTATTCGAATCGTTCGAGTCAGTGCCGACGAATAACTTCGCAGAGTTTTCGGCGGGAGTGTTCAATTGGTTAGAGGAGTATTGCAAGCCTCAGTCGCTGAGAACAATGGTCCACGGTGTATTAAGGGAACAAAGTTATACGCCATAAACACTACGTACATATATATATCTGTCTTCTATAGTAAATAGTTAGAAAATACGACACAATAATACTAACTGAACTTCGACATCTTTGAAAATAAACATAATGATTGACATGATTGTTATAACATAAATTTTAATTGTTTTATCTTTTTGATGGTTGTATTTTTTTTAAATAGGTTGGTAATGATTCAACTATATTTAAATTTGAAACATATTTTTAAATTGTGATATAAATTTTTTGTTGGAGTTTTATTGGTAGTTTCTATAACTGAATTGCTATGTTCTTACCTTTTATAGATTGTATAAACGGTTCAATTTATCTGCCAAATATACACAAGCAGATATAAGCGATAGAGCGAGTGATAACGTCGTAATAATATGTTCATGTGATAAGAAAACTCGTATCTTCACTCCTATTACATATTCGTTCAATGTTATTCAATTTGCACAAATAAGACGTATATTATTATATGTTTACTGTTATTAGAATTTATATCTATTAATTAGATAATTAAATACATACATAACATACCATAATAAGTATGAAAATTTACTGTAATTTAATTTTGAAAAGCATATATGGATTTAATATGGATTCTTAATAGAGATGTGGCGACTAATATTTTCGGTAGTGAAAGATAAAATATTAAGGCTTAATGATGATTTTTATTCATCGTCTTTTCCGTATATTGACATGACTTGAACCTCATTCGTCTTAATTTTTTGCCACTGCGAATCAACGCGGTACATGTGTTGTTATTTTTCTGATCTTGTCCTCAATATTTATTCTTAGTACTTACATAATAACCTACTACTATAATTTAACTTAAACGAGTGGTGTTACATATACTCGTATTTGTCTTTTCTATCTTCTCGCCAGATTTTATGGTAGCTCCAAGCCAGTGCCGTTTACACTACACACGATATTTTTATCCTTTTTATCACTTACCTCCATTTTGCCAAATAATCACCGAACATAAAGCTTTACCGGTTAGTCGGCACATCTCTAGATTCCAATAATTATTTATTTCTTATAAGAAATCAAAAGTTTTATTTTAAGACCATGTTTATCATGTTTATACATGAAAGTTTTGTGATAATAATAAAAAGATGTTCGCCTTAAAGAATTTGTTTACGAAAACGAATGTCAATAATGAATAGTGCCTTCAACAGTTAGCTGTTTTCAATTTAAAATAAACACAATATGTTTCGTTATATTTCTGCGTTTTATTTTCAAACTGATCTGCTATATCTAATAACTATCCCATTACTGAAAAAAGTTCTCTTTTTTGTTGTGTTAATATCCACATTTTTTAATTCTTAATAATCTTATCAAAAACCTCTTTGGTTAAATGCATATTGTGTTCCAGGTTTCGAGCTAGTACGTACACTCATGCTTAAGAAGCAGCATTTTTTTTTGTATTTGTTTATCCGTACCCTGTTATTATCGAATTACAATCGGTTTAATACAGCATTAAACCGATTGTAATTCGATAATAGTACCCAAAAAACAACAGCAACAGAAAACTTACAATAATTGAATCAAAACACAATAATTATAAAAATAAACTAGATAATTATGTAATACCGTTATTAATGATTTTGAATAATGATTTTTATACTAAGTTATAACATACATCCATCCATGCATCCATAGCTAAAAAGTAGGTTCTACTGACTCAAGACTCAAATTACGGAACGAAGTTGTTCTGTAGTATAAATATTGTACCTGCTACGAACTTGACGGCTACAATGCTACAAAAGCGTAGCAAGCGTAGCAGCTTCAAGTTCTGTAGCTTTCGTAGCTAATCGCCAACAGCAGATATATTTTAATTTATTTATCATAAAAAATATGAATAGTATTTTTTTAAATAGTTACTAAAAATGCAATACTTTAATAAAACATCATACTTAGTTGCTTTTATCATTATTGTATTCTAAGCGCTAAAATACATATTTGTTAAGTGTGAGAGAGTCATGTTTTGGCACACGGACAGGCCGGAAAGAGCGGAGTGATGCCAGGGTCTCATAGAAAATCGGCGTGAAGCAACAGCGGCGTGGTGTTTGGTCGTGTGAGTGAGGTCACTCACTGTAACCACGGTAACCTTACTGGAGCCAAATCCTTACACCCCCCATCCTCAATCCCTATTATAACCCACACGAAGCCGGCAACGCACTTGTTTGGTAACTTCTTTGGTATTACGAGTGCGGTTGAGTGGGTGGCGCAGATTGCTCACCATCAGGTTATCAGTCAGCTCGTTTGCCAAGTTAACACGCACAACACACATTTTATGATATAACTAGCTTCTGTCGCCCGGCGTCACTCACTACTCGGCTCCCTACAAATCGTTGCGTGACGGTTTATAGCCTAAAGCCTTGCTCGATAAATGTAGGTACTAACAAACACAAAGAATTATTCAATTCGAACCAGTAGTTCTGGAGATTAGCGTGTTCAAACAAACAAACTCTCCAGCTTTATAATTATTAGTTCAACAACGTTCAACATTTATGCTGACGTCTGCATTGGCAATGCGATACAGTTCATATAATTTGTAATCAATTCAGTGCTATTAAAGCCGTGAGAAAAAACATCTTTCATTCAAATCCCAAACCTGGGTCGGAGTCGCGTTATTCAGTCAGAGTCGTTTCGTTCAGTCAGAAACAACAAGGTGCTAGGTATACCACTTTTTTTGTGAGGAGAAAATCATCAAATGACTTCTCCCGCCCAAGGCCGGGCGGGAGGGAGTGACTGACTAAAAACTCCCCTGTTCCTTCTCCTGCTCTGGGCCGAGGTCACGGTGCCTCATTGCGCTTACCCCGCAACCCCGGCTGAACATCAGCCTTATAAGGCCCCGTCTGTGGTGGTCTATTGGCTCTTTGAGGCGCGCGCGGAATGCTATGCGTCGTACGCTCGGGCCTGGTTCTGGTCGGGTGGCAAGCTGCCCTTACTCGCCGACCGCAGACCCGCGCACCACCTTAAATTATGGTATAATATTAGACGTTCGTTTTTAGCAAACATAGCAAATCTTTCGTAGCTGTCTACAAAACATTCCATCATCACATTTTATTATCATCACATTTACGTCGAACACTAATAAATTAAAACAATTTATTAGATTTATAATGGTACACCTGTTCATGTTGTGTTCATCATCTTTCATTGTGAGGGATATTTGTTTCCAGGCACGATCATAGTTGTTTTTAGTTGTGTAGTGTAGTGTTTCAAAGTCTTTGTACAAAATGGTTGTCAGTAGGTACTTACGATTGCCGTTTTGCCCGGAATATTAGGTAAATTAATTCTTTTTAAAATTTCGGCAGTCACGTTAACATTGAAGAATCAAACAAGGAAATAAGCAATCCACTTAAAATATGTTATTTTATAATTATACTTAAAAATGATTATTAACTTCAGTTATACTTGGTTACCTATACTGAATTATTTTTTAGATAGCTTATAGTGTCTTCAACAGCGTACCTATACTGACTTATCTAGGCACACAGTAACAGCTGCAACATGGCCCGTACTTACTCAGTTTAAATTTTCCGGCTTCCAACACCATTGTAAACTTGCGCCCGTCTAGAGGATTTTCTCAAGTTGTTACTAAAATTATAAGTTGAGACTTGAGACGCAAACTTCCCGGAGTGCTTGCAAATTCCTTCATGTTTCATTAAATAGTTTTATTATTCTGATGTTATAGTTAGCGACTGTTGATGTGTTTACTCACAGTGTAATCAGTGTGGGAGAGCCATGTCTCGGCACCAATGGGCCGGCCCGACCGGAGTGATACCACGGCCTCACAGAAAACAACCACTTGTTTCACGTCGGTTTTCTGTGAGGCCGTAGTATCACTCCGGTTGACCTATTCTTGCCAAAGCATGGCTCTACCACATCATTGTTGTGCCTATAAAAACTAGTTCTTCTCAAGTCGGTCTTACCATGGTTTTACCTAAAACCTTGGGCTCGGGTATCCCATTATTCATAGATCGTGCCACCCGTGATAATAGTCCCATCTGATAATTAAAGTCAATAAGTAAAAAATCAAATGACTACTATTAACTACATTAAGTGGTTTATTAGTTATTGTTCCACAAGATACACTGGTATATAAAAATCATTACAAGTCTACTTTTTATTGTAATTATACATATTACGTAATTAAGATATATAGATTAAACAGAAGTGATCGGAAATAAAAAAAACTACAACATATCTTTGGTTGTGTTGAAAAAACAAATGTTTAACATAACTTATTATAAATGTCTAGTCTACTTCTTAAATAATCATCCTGTGGTTAAAAGTCAACTACTTAAAAAAGAATTAAATCAATAAAGATCTAGGCAGTTTACGAAAATTTTACACAATATGAAGTTCGATGACAACGCTACATGTTTCCATTCTACTTGTAATAAAATGAATTAACATCCTCTTTAAGTATAACCTGAAAAGCCATAGTGAGCCACATACTCGCTTTTCTATTAAAACAACACCTTCACAATTTAAATATAAATTGAACATACAAAATGCTAAACAATATTATACAAAGTTTATGATAGTCTGATAAAACCAGGCAAAAATAGATACCTAAATCAGTCTTTCATGAAATGCAGTATAAATAAGGTGCAGATTGATTAATACCATAACTGACTAGTTTGTGCCAGAACCAACACAACTTTGGCAAATAAAGAAATCACCTTTATTTTCGGAATAATATACGAGGGCAATTACTCAACACGGTTAATGGTAAACGTGATAAATTGTGTTATACGGCCAACATTCAGATTGAATTATTGTAGTATAAATGTTGTGCAGTCACATTATTTTGATCACCATGTATTTGATTGCTTTCACTAAACACGCTCGCTCTCCGTCGGTTGCGAGAGCAGTGTGACGTCACCCATCGGGTAGCTTTCGGTTCTTCTCGCACATCCCACATTTTTCGCTCGTTCTCTAGGGGTCCCACAGCAAAGTCTTTTGAGGACACATGCATAGCACATTAGCAGAGAGAACATAAGAAGTAAACCGATGATAACGGTCACAACTAACAATATCCTGAGTTCTCCATTGGACTTGGAGTCGGCTACGCTCGAGTTCCGACTCATTCTCACAGCTC